ATTGTTATTTTCTAAATATCTTCCTGATTTGCCACGAGCCTCTAATAGAGTAAAAAAAAATTCTGTTGAGATAATTGATATTTATTCCTTGTACAGTCATGCTTTATATAGCTGCTAGCTACAGCGTAATGCAGTCTCAAATTTTATATAATTCATTGCCAAAAACACTTCTTAAAGGTTCAGTTATACTGTTTCCAAGGATACCTTGGTCTTAAAAAATGTCTGGCAAGTTTTTCAGAATAACATTGTCTTAGCTGGGAGAAAGGAACACTTTAACTATTAGTAAATGATCCATTGAGGTTCAGCATATGAACAGTTGAATGCTCCTGCCTTAATCTGGGCCACATGGAAATATTTGCATATTTTTACATCCACCAAATTTATGCTTCAGGGCTAAAGATAATCAGTGACATAAAATTGACACAAGCATTCAGTTCAACCAATACATTTTGAATGCAGAACCTCAGAGCCTGGGAACTCAGCTCCTGTCCTCATGAATTTACAGGCTCACTGGAGAGTGTGGTGCATACACCCTTAGTAAAAGGTGGACTGTGACAAGCTCCAAGATGGCAGTAAATGAAGGAGATGCCCAGGGGTGTCAGAAGAGGAGCTAATGCAGCCTGGCTGGGAGGATCCAGGGGCTTTCCTAGAAAGGTGGCATTTAAACTGGGTCTGGAGAGTTGCATCGGTGTCCTGTGGGTGAGAGGGTCCTTTATTCAATTTCCTGCTTTTCCGAATTTGATGGAACTTCATTGTGTGGTGGGTGGGGGATGACAGGGTCTTTGGAGTCTAGAGTTAGACTTTCTTATAGTAAATAATTACCCTTGAAAAAATTTCTTAAATTTCCTATACAGTTTTCATGGGTTTTTTGTACCCAACCTGTATAATAATTTGTATATATATTAAAATCCGAGAGCTGAAATCCATATGTGGAAGCATCTATTTCATCTTTTCTCTGAAATGTTCCTACTTTGCCATGGGTCTTCCTCCATTCCCATTCTATTTTAACTCTATACCCTTAATGCATGCTTTTTTGGGAGGAGGGGGAATTGTCAGTATATAGATGATATTTACCTGTTTCCATTCTTTAACTTTATTTTTTTAATTGGAGGAAAATTGCTTTGTAATGTGTTGGCTTCTGTACAGCAGCACGAATCAGCCGTGATTATACGTGTATCACTTCCTCCCTTATTGCAGGTTAATAGATGCATGTATTATCATAAGAGTTAAACTGGTTAATGTGTGGAAGAACTTGAGGTTGCTCGCGTCTGAAGGCTGGTGAATATTTGTGGGTTTGAATCCAGAGGCCCAGCATGCACCTCTCCTCTGAAATACTGTAAAAAGGAAAACTTGGCCACATGCTTCCTGTCCTTCTGTGACGGTGTTTCCTCTGTGGCTGCTCTGGCCAGATGGCATTCTCTTGTCCTCAGACACCGACCTCATGAAGCCCTTAGAGAAACCACATCCTACTTGCTGGTTTAGGTTCAGACGCTCAGTGCTGTAGCGTGTGACCCCTTGACAGGCAGACTTACTGATGCTAGTGTGTGTTAAACGAGCAGAATCAAACAAGAGCCTCTTTCGTTGCCTGAGAAGTTAGGTAGCAGGAAAGGCAACAGTAGTATCTCCACTCCTCTAAGTCATGAGAATTTCCTTCCTTCATAAATTAGACCCCCCTCAAAGGTGACAGACCAGACCAGTGTCTTGCTTTGAGAATTGCTTTCCTTTATCTGGATTTACGTATAATGCTCTGAGTTGCTGTGAGAAAGCTGTGTGAATTTCACTGCTACATTTCCTGTGAACATGTGGGCACCTTATCTAGATCTTGATCAGTTCTCTTCTATGTAAATTTCTCTGTGAGAAACTAGAAAAAATGTACTTGCCTTATAGTCTGGTATGTTTTTCCTTTTCAGGATATGAATTATGGAACTGATTATGTTTGCCTTTGTATCTTGACTACCTAGATGCTTAGAACCAATGCATAGTTTTTTCCTTGATTACAAAAGAAATATAAACTCACAGCTAAAGTTGTGAAAAGTAGAAAAACTTCAGGGAGATGCCTGGATTGTGGCAGAACACAAGGGGATCAAGACACCTATTGGAAGACAGTTGTCATAATCAAGCACCAAAGAGGGAAGGGCAGTGAATTTTAAATTGCTGAAGCACTTTGTCATTTTTGATCACACAGCTGAAGTCCTGAATTTAAGACTAAGGTTAATTTCTTCAGATTGGAATAGCAACAGCAACAATAATAGTTACCATTAAGTGAGTACCTGCTATGTAACAGGCTCTGTGCTATGCTGGTTTTACACTTTTACCTCTTCAATGAAATTATTTCAATTGGATTAAACCCAAATGTTGCCTTTATCTTTAATTGCTGGTCAATAGCTTTTACCTATTTGTGCCCTCTAGCAGTTGGCATGGTTGACAGAATCAGTTGACAACTGATTCTGCATAGCATCATGATGACGAGTGTGTCTGTTGCATCCATAATGCACTATGTGACCTTCTGTACATAAAGCAACCTCTCTGGCCAGCAGTTTCTTCATCTGTAAAATGGGAATAACCATGTTTCCTGCTTCACAGGGTTGTTAAAGGACTTCCCAGTTGGCTCAGTGGTAAAGAATCTGCCTGCTAAGCAGGAGATTCTGCTTCAGTTCCTGGGGTCTGGAAGATTCCCTGGAGAGGGAAATGGCAGCCCACTCCGGTATTCTTGCCTGGAGAATTCCATGGAGAGAGGAGCCTGGTGGGCTGTAGTCCATGGGGTCACAAAGAGTTGGACACAACTTAGCAACTAAAGAACAACAGCAAGGCTTGTTATAATGATTAAATAAATCACCAGTGCAGGTTTTGGGACACAGTGAGCACTTAACAGTGTTCATAAAATAAATAACCTTTTAAGTTCCTTTTCATTGCTTACAGAATGTCAGGGTATTTTGACCTAATAAGCAGGATAACATTTCTCTCCTTAAAGTCTAGAACTTCTGGTGACCTAATGATGGTGGGGATTTGAGGAAGAATCGGACTTTTTGAACTCTTTGAGACATTTCAAAAAGGTTTTCAGTTGTTGGTTATGACGTGCTTTGAGCTTCCCTGCTGGCTCAGATGGTAAAGAATCCGCCTGCAATGCAGGAGACCCATGTTCGATCCCTGGGTGGGGAAGATCCCCTGGAGGAGGGAATGGCAACCCACTGCCGGTACTCTTGCCTGGAGAATTCCATGGACAGAGGAGTATGGCAGGCTACAGTCCCTGGGGTCGGAAAGAGTCAGACACAACTGAGCGACTTTGACGTCACACTTGACCATGTGCTTTACTATGGTTCAGCTTGTCTGTTTAGTGCTTATGGCTTATCTCCTCTAATTTAGAGAACAACTGTAAGTTTCGACTTAACCATTATTTCAAATCTATATTTATGTAACTGAGGCTTTTTGGTTTTTTTTTCCTATCCTCTTGTAACCTTACAAAGAGACATTTTGAAAATTCACAGATTGTATTTATTTTGGAACACAGATATGGTGAGTTTATATTACCCTGAAAGGTTACCCAAGATTGAGAAATTGGGTAGTTTAAAAAAATTATTGTAGAGACTACTTTTTTTTTTTAATGGTTTCATAGAACCTTTGTGACTCATTACCCAGTGCTGTCCACGCTGAGATAGATTCCTGAAGTTTGAGTGGCAGAGACTGGGGTGACCTCCGCAGGCCCTGGTGAGAGGATGAATGTGCGGACATAGGGTGCCAACTGGGCTCCCCTGCTGCCCCCTGGGGACCCTGCCGGCCTCAGTCACTTGTGCCTGTATCTTAGACAGTGGCTTCTATATTTTCCTGGATATAGGTACCTGTATACCTCGTGGCACCGATTGTGTTAGTGATGCCTTGTTCCATTGTTTACATGTTACTACTACTACTGCTATTATCTACTGTTAGTAAATTCTCCCCAGTCTCAATGAAATAAGTAGAATAACTAATTGGGAGAAGTTCTACGGCATTCCAGGAAGTACAGGTAAATACTTAATCCCATCTTAGGCTCATTTTCACATGTAGTTCATTAATAAATCCCTTAACGCTTTTGGTTTTCCCTGAGATGATTTTAAAACGACCTAACAGTTACTCCACCATTAATGTGAGGAAATGATGAAAATAGCAGGCTTTTGGGGAAACACATCAAGTGCTGTCACCGCTGAACCATGGCATGGCGACCCAGCTACTTTCCTGTGCTTCTGTGTAAATCCCTGTTAACTGCATGACTCTGGCCTTCACGCTGTCTATTCATCTTGCCTTCTCAGCTTGCTCTGACCCTCCTGGAAGGTGGGGACCCTCTCCTCTGCCTTACCTTTTCACTGAGATCCTCTCGGTACCTAGTACCAGACTCGCTACCAGGTGGTACCCACACAACCATGGATGGATTTAAGGTGATATTCTGTTTAATAAAAGCATTTACTGTGATACGTGGAATCTCATGGAAATGTGTGTCGACCTCGCCTTTTGTCTACTGTAAAACAGTAGATAAATTAAGTTTGCCGTGCCAGGGGCTGTCATGCAACAAGAAACTCTGCCCTTCTGTCTGCCGTGTGGGGTGCCGGCATGGGTGCCCTTCTGGTTGCCCCTCGCTGCTTTGATCATCAGCCAAGCATTTGGTGTTTAGCTATAACATGAAGGAGAGCCTCCTGAAACTAAGAATCTGAGAACAGCCAGATGACCTGGCTTCTCTTCAGCTCCCGATACGGAGTAATTATGAAGGAATCTGACTGTGACTGGTTTGCTTTTCCACACTGCACTGTTTTGATTGGGGTCGATGTGGCCCACGCCGCGTGGAGCAGACACAATGAGGCCGGTCTTCATGGGAGAGGCAGTGCACTGTGCATTGTACAGTTCGGGGTTTGTTTTCCTCTGGACGGGCGGGTGGGAACCTCCCATTTTCCGAGCAGTAGTAACACCCCTGGAGGCTGGCCCTCCCACCCTGGCGGGCTCTGCAGACCCAGCCGGCAGGGCTGACCACTTGTGCCTGGGAAGGCAGCTTCCTTTCCGTCCTCCAGCCCCTGGCATGCGTGTGCCTCGCACAGCCAAGGACTTGCAGCTGTCTCAGTTGCAGACTCTGTGACTTGCGTTCTCAGCCGAGGATGCAGGCTGATAAATGCAGGACAAGTTGCCGAAGTGTCAGAAAGGAGCTGGTGATCGAGTCCCCGCTGCGGTGCAAGGATGCAGCCCAGGGCGAGGGGGACGCAGAGAGCCCGGGGCCAGTGCTGGTAAGAGGGGCCGGTCCCCGGGGCTTCTGCTGTCTTCCCCACACAGCGCTGTCATCGCCTGTGCGTGCTCCGTGCCTTCTGGCCCTTCGGTTGGATTCTAAGCTTGCCTGTCTCTGGCGAACTCTCTTCTCTGTCTCTTCCTTTAGATTTGACTTGGGTTCCACTTTGATTCTTCTTTGGGAGGAAAGATATGTTGACATCTTGTGGGTGAACATGGTTTCCAAGAGGCTCCTTTGTATATACAACAACTTCATATTGTTCAAAATTAAGTCTCACCTCGCTGCACTGTTGCCAATGTAAACCTGGGAGGCACACTGTAATTGCCTTTTATAGGACTGAAAGAGATGCCCTTTGCAGAATTAAAGCTTGTTCACATTATGTGTTTGTGAACATTAGGATGGTAACGTGGGGGTGTGGTTTAAGGAACCTAGCTGCTGAACTTACATGTGTTCTCACCCGTTTTAACAAGTTTGCCTTGAATTGAACAAAGTAAGAAATAACCTGTGCTTGGAAACCAGTTGCTAGTAAAGTTTCTATTCTTAACATTAGCTAAACTCAGAGCAGTCTGGATAAATTCAAGTGCCTCAGTAGACTTTGTAAGGGCAGAATGTGAAAAATGGTTTTGTTGTTAGCATCAATGAGTAGGTTGTGCTCCTCTCTCGGAATTTTTTCAGTACAATAAAGGCACATAACTTTTAAAGCAAACTGCAAAAAGCCACCAACATGCACGTCGGAGGGAACAATTAAGCCTTTCAAATGATCTGTTAAAGGGATTGTTACACTCATACTTAGCAATTTTATATAGTGATTTGTTTTTTAAAACATCAAAGTTCATTTTCTGTTGTAAAGTGTAGGGTAATTAACTTATTTTTCAATTAATGTTTTTAAGAATCTAAACCTCAACTTCTCTGTAATGGGTTTGACTTGAATTAATCGCCTTTGATCTGTGAGACAGCCATATATTGTACTGCCTTCAAAATTATGTTGCTAATCCGGAACTGAGAAAGTAAAGTGTAAGGGGCTTTTTGGATGTAGGTTTTCATCTTAGAGATTTAGGCCCCCCTCCCCCCAACATTGTTTAGAGATGTTTTTCCTTATTTTGGATTCCTTTCTGCTAGCACAATAGTTCATTTATCCATTGAGAAGCATGAGCTGCTTACATGCGGTAATAGATTAAACCGGTTAAAGCTCCCAGCTGATGTCGCTTGTGATTTCTTGGAGGAAGTTGTGTGGTTTGGGTTCCCTTGTGAATATCCTTAAAAATCTTTTGTCAGTGATTCTGCAGATGTGTAGAAAAATTTGTCCAGAAGATTAAATACACTGTAGAAAGATGCTCTGTGTAATCACCCTAGTGACTTTTAAAAAATTTGTTTCTCTTTCTTGTGCTCAAAAAAAAAAAAAAGAAAAAGAAAATCAGCTGCTCATGTCCCAGTTATTTGTTTAGGTCGAATCTCACCCCAGGCAGGTCCGGGGGAGTTTGTTTTCCGCTGTAATGGATAAGGCTGGGCTGGCCGCAGCTGTACCTGCTGGGGGTGCTCATGGGGGACCCAGAAGCTCCTGGGAGTGGAGAGGTGTGAGGGGGACGGGGAGGCAGCAGTGATACGAGAAGGAACCTGTTCTTGTCTGGTAGTGTTTCTCTCTTGCATTGTGGTGAACAAGATAGAAAGAGCTAGCACAGATAAGAGAAGCAAGGATAATTAAGCAGAGTTTCTGCCCTAGGCAGATCTCCTTACCTGTGATTCTCAGTGCGCATTCAACACACCGCCAGGAGTGCAGCTTTTCTCCAAGACGAGTTTTTAAGAGTTACGCAGCGCAACCTTGAGATCTTCTCATTATTATTATGTCAGTAGCTCGCTTGCTTGTTGAGAATCCCCACGTCTATAGTGTTTAAGTGTAAGTAACTTATTTTATTCGAGACGTAGAATCTTGAAATCAACTTTCACCAGTTTTAGTTATGTACACAATCAGTCCTTGGGGAAAATATGACATAGTTTAAAAAGCCAAAAAATAATTAATGCTTATAATTAGAAATAGGGATAGTATAAAATAGGGAAATGTAAAGTGCCCTTACCTTTGATTTCCAAAAGTGCCCACAATTAATTACTTGGTAAATAACCTTCTCCAAACTTTCTCCCAAGCATGTGAAAATATAACTTATTGTATGTCTTTGGAAAATGTATGTTACTATAAACTTCTGCGTTAATTTTCTCCCAGAACATATCAAGAACATCTTTCTTTGTCACCATGTATAGATGTATGCCATTATTTTTAATGGCTGTACCATAATTTGATTCAGTTTGTTTCCAACTTTTGCCACTAGTACAGTGTACAATCTTTGAGAAATGACTCTGTGGCCTGTGAGTGACCAACGGTGAATGTACTGGTAAATGTGTCTGAAAGCACTTACACTAGTGAGAAGAAGCCGTTTTCCTATAAAACTTCTACCAGAAGTGAATGCCTCTTTCGCCTCTGCCAGGGCGACAGTTAAGTCTCCCTTAGCCATGGCTGCTTGTTCCATGCTGGGTAGAGTCAGTGTTTCTATTATAAGAGCAGTATGTGTTCAGAGGCTGTAAGGTTCAACTTACAGGCATCTACGCAGGTGGGTCTTGTTCCTTCATTGTGACAGTAGCTGGGGAGGAAGTACATGGTGAAATTTCCCCATTCCTCTCCAGGCTTACTGCCAACCCCATGGAAAAATGACTCTGTGGGCTTTGAGTGACTAACAGGGGAACAATCAGGATACTCTTAATGTCTACAAGTTAGTTATCCCGCTGGCATTTGAATACCTATTTTTGCTCCCCAAACTCTAATGCAATTCCTGGAAATAATTTATGCTAATTGTTACGGCTCAACAATTTAGAGGAAAAGGGTGTGGCTTCAGAGACTCAGGACTGACTGAGTCCTAAGTCCTGTGTGTTGCCCTTGCATTGCTCACTTTCAAGAGGCAGGTAAGGCCCGCAGCTCAGGTCTTACTTGGGGAATTCTGAAGGTTGAAAGATGTGAAGATGGAAAGAGCTGCATTTTCACATGTTAGGTATCCTTCTTAGGTATTTTTAAAGCAGTATCTTTTTAGCAACATCTGTTTTATTTTTGACATTTTTCTTTTTAAAGAAATACTTACAATTTATTTGTTCGTTTGTTTATTGACTGTGCGGCATGCGGAATCTTAGTTCCCAGACCAGGGGTTGAACCTGTGCCTTCTGCAGGGGAAGTGCAGAGTCCTAGCCACGGGAGGGCCAGGAAATCCCCAGCTTTTGATATTTTTCTGGGATCTTCAAGTGTTCAACACTGAATCTGAGTTGTTATTTTACTGTTTTAAAGAACAAGTGATTAGCCAAATGACTGTATGAGATGGCAGCATATGTACCCATGTAGAAAAAAATAGGAGACTGGGCTTCTCATTAAGTCAGTGTATTAACCTGGGGAAACTTCTCCCATAAGTTCTATTTACTCTAGAAATAGCAGAAGCGAATTAAGATACAAACCCTGAAGGATAAGCTTATGGGTAATGTTCATGTTGTCAGTATCCTATAAGACTAGCATATTGTGATTGAGTTAATTAATTTATACTGGTACAGCCCTCTGCCCTCCATGTTTTTCTGCATCGTTATAGATGTCTTTAGAAGTGATTAATTAATGATATTACATTGGTGTTATTCAATAGGTAGTGGTTTTTTTTTTTTAATATACTAAGTGTGGTGAAGGAAGGAAATTCCTGCAAGCTCTGTGTAATGACATATTCCCAGGTGACTAAAAAAAAAAAAAAAGAAGGACGTTTTCCTTATTCAGAGCCACCAGCCTTCACTGTGCTCCTCGGTTTCCCCTTCACTTGTGTCTTTGTTCATTCGGCCACTTTTTTAAGAACCGAGATCCACTTTTTTAAGAACCGAGATTTGCAAACGTACCGGGTAGTGCGCTGGGGATACAGAGGTGAGTGAGACACACTTCTCCCCAAGCAGCACAGCGTGGGTAATGAGGGGCTTCTTTCCTCAGAAATGTTGTTCACCCTGTATTTTTTTAGGCTCAGTGAGTGTCAGTCTCACCTATCCTTTTCCATTGAGGCAGACAACACTTAAAATCATCTTCATCATCGGCTCCAGCAAGGACGCGTTCTATGTTTTTAGCACCTAAAGCAGGCTTTACTGAGGGAATAGGGACCCTGACCATTCGAGTGAACAGTCTGTGTGAATGAGGCCCCGCTGTGGCACATGTACTTTGGGGGTCAGTTGCTGGGAGGAATCTTTGGCATGTGGATGCTTCTCTCACCCTAGAGAAGTGGCTTCCACAGCTCATATCACTGTGTCCTTATAGACCTGGGCCTCTCCCACCTTCCAGGAGGCTTGCTCATTTCTTTTCTCATGCGTGTCAGTAACATGGATGCAGAGTGACTAGTCACTGTTTTTTTTATAACAAGGTCCTGGCAGTTGCTCTGTTGTTGCTGTTTTTTTTTTTTTTTTTTTCTGATGAGAAAACAAAAATAGAAAATATTTATATAGTGTCTTCCTTTGTGCCAGAAACTGTTTTAAATCTATTAAATATGTTATGTCAATTCATCCTCCCAGTTCCAAGAGGCAGTTACTATTATTATTAGTCTTTTTTAAAGATGAGGAGGCTGAGCCCAGAGAGGTAACTTACAAAAAATCGTACTTTTAGGACATGACAGAGCTGGCTTTAAGGTGCCAGTCAGGTTTTCCAGAACCCATACCTGAACACATATGTACAGTTCATTACCAAAAACCAGTGTATCGCTTATGCTTGAAGTTGGGATTATAAAGAAAAAAGAAGTTCAGAACTCCTCCCTGACCTTAAGAAATTTAAAGCTGGTTAGAGAAAGGCCAATTTCTAAGTGGCAAAAGAACAGCAGTTGAATAGCACAGACAAACAAAGAGGAGGATGGTCATGGCTAAAGGAGTTGGAAATGTGAACAGGATGGAGTTAGGGGTCATGTCACTCTTCTTTTGGGTCATGTTTTATCATCCTCCCAGAAAATTACACAGGAG